CCAGTTTGAGATCTTCAACAGGCAGTTGGAGATGCAAACTCAGGTAGAGCAGAGAGGGCTGGATATATAGATTGGAGAAGCATGAACATAGAGATGATAATCAAATCCATGGGAGCTGATGAGATCTTCAACTGAAATAGTATAGAGGGAGAAGAGAAGAGGGCTCAGGACAGACCTATAAAATCAGGAAGGTTTTGAGTAAGGGCTTGGCAATAGTATTTTCCTCATTCTATGACCGTCTTAGGGAGTTAAGTTCTGAGAAGCTTAGTCACCAGAGGCTATTTTGAAAAATTTTGTTTAGTTTTATTTTGGCCATAGCAGTTAATGTCCACTAAAGAGTAGAAGGGCTATGATCTACATTGATGGCTTGGGGGCACCCATCTTGTTAGAAGCATAATTATACCTGTTATTTATATAGTGTTTTGAAGTCTACAAAGTGCTCTACATATGTTATGCATTTGAGCCTTACTTTAATCCATAAGGTCAATACTATTCTCATTTTACAGATGAGGAGCCTGAAGCTTGGAGAGGTTAAATGACTTGGCAATGGCCTCATGGCTAGAAAGAGTCAGAGGCAGGATTTGCCTCCAAGTCCAACACTCTATTCTCTATGCTATGCTGCCTCCAAGCACTGGTCTTTTAAAATATTGAAGTATTGAAAGCCTTCCTCTGTGCAAGTAAGATAGTGATATCCTGCAGGTTGACACAGTATCATAACTTTGCTTTAGGTCCAGGTTTTTAGGGATATTGATGACCAAAGGTGGTCAGTCATTCTCTTCTGGCAAATGTTCTCAATCCAGTGCCAGCTGGCCTATACTGTAATGTGGTGGATAGGACAGATTGTTACATGAGCTGTCACACTTCCACCAGAAACCCAGATAAAAACAGCACACATGGTTTAGCTTTTTATTCATTTATTTGAATGTGCAATTCACTTTTATTTCCACCACAAGTACAACACGAGCAGGTTGTTGGATTCACAGTCTGAGGGATTTCAAGCAGGAAGTGGCAAAGACAGAGCTGGATTTTCCCTGTGTGAGCTGTTTCAGCCATTCACACAAGAATCCAGTTACTGAAGACAACTTTAAGGAACACAGGAGAGTTGGTTTCTACACAATTACAACACATACCACTGGACACCTTGGACAAGGAGCTAAGCAAGGAAGACTTAGAGTTTCACAAAAGGAGGCTGAAGGCATGCTTTATATACTGGGGTTTGTGTTTTTGATCAAAAAGAGAACAAGCTATTATAACACTGATGGACAACATCTGGGCTATATCTGAAACATCACCCTGATGATATGCACACATTAGCTCTATTTTTTTATAGGATACTTGATGGGATGAAATCCAAGTCCAAGTACTTTTCATCTGACTTTTGACTGTTGTCTCTCTAATCGCCCCCCATCTTATAATAATACCCCATATTCATAGCATAATTTATACTTTTCTAATTAATTTCACACATTCTTTCATTTCATCTTCATCTCACTGCCTTGAGGTAGGCAGGGTGGGTAGCATCTGTCCTCTTCCTATAGATGAGGAAACTAAGTTTCAGAGAGGTTCTGGCTTGCCTGGCCACACAATAAGCTAATAGCAAAGCTGGAATGAAAACTGTTACCTCCTGTCAGACATCCTTGCTGGTGCTGGTTTATGAACCCAGCACGAAGAAGGAAGGATAATGTTAATACATTGACACCCAAGTTGTGCTGAACTGGGGAGAGGTCCCTGATAATGCTGCCACTTGAAATCTTGTTGGGAGGAGCTACGCATGTGGAGAGAACCAAGAGAGTGATAGCTCCCTGAATTTTCACCAGCCTGGAGGTACCTTTGACCTTCAGTTGCTCTAATTTAAAAAAAAAATACATCAATGCAAAGTACCTTCTCATTTTGGCTCCTCTGAGGACTCCCCTGCTGCTGTCCTCAGACCCTGCCACCTTAAGGCTTCTGACACTTAGGTAGAATATCTCATGTATAACCTTTTCCACTACAGCTAGTAACCAAGTAGGAGACAAAGCCTGCTACCCAGCTGCAAAGATTGGTATAAGTGACACAATTTTTTGGAGTTTTCTGGCAGATTAGAAATAAAGTCCTCAGAGAAGAACTTCCCCATCACTTGGGAAAATCTGGGACCCTGCATCCAGATCAGCTTGAGCTGCTCTTACAAGCTCTGTTTTGTCAGGTAGAGGCATAATGGATGCACAAACACTATTCATCAGGCTGCAATTATCAGCTTCTCCTGAATATTCAAGTTTAAGACCTTGGGCAGGAGACGAGACAGGTTGAACTCCTGGTAGTTCCAGCCGGGACACTTGCTCAGTCCTCCAGCAGTAGGTATGGAAACAGTAATCAGTCATATAACTAGCTGTAACCTGCAGTCTCTCACCTGACAGCCTGACTTTTTTTTTTTTTTTTTTTGCTTATCATCCCATTTTGAAATAAAGGTCAGTTGATTACCAAAGTCTTCCTATTCTTGGTCTGGTATAGTGGCCTTATATACAGGAGAATTTTTGACTCATAGAACCATAGGTCTACGGGGCCAAGAGAGGGATTTTGAGAAGGAAAGTTCTGCACCCTAATTTGGTCTTTTCCTATTAAGTCATCTGCCTCACTCAGTTCAACTTTGCCACTGTGCAAAGTTGCAGTTTTGGGGCAAAGAAAAACCTACTCATGCACAGCCTGATTTTTAACCTACATGAATTCTCCCCAATATCTTGAGATAAAGCCATCAGTCTTTCCTTCTTCCTCCTCTTCACCAAGTGAAATCAAGACTGCTTTGGATAAATGTTCAGCCAATCAATCAATCACAAACATTTATGAAGTGCCTTTTAGATCTGAGAAATGCAAAACTTGCTGACTGGTGGTAAGTGATCTTGGGACTTCCTTTCTTTAGGTAACTTTTCTCTGCTTCTCTGTTCAGATACAGTGTATAAACAAATCCCTGTAGCCCCTGATTCCTCTGGAGGAAGATCTCCACTTAAGTGACACTGACCAGGAGTAAATATTGAGTGAAAGGAGAGAGGCGACTAGCCCTTCAAGAATTCTCAGGAGCCCAAAGGAATCAGAAGCATGGAACAAAGGAAGTATGGGGATGGGAGAGCAGTGAGAGGGAGCAGTCTGTGAAGCCAGCCAATAGAGCCATTTTAATAGTGTGAGGAGAGTCAAGGGTGGGAGAGGAGACATGAAAGAAATCTTCATCTTTTTCCTCCCTCCTCCCACCAAATTCTGTGGTTCCACGCTCAGTGGTTTCTTGCCTCCATGCATTGACCTGGATGAGTGGAGAATGAAGCTCGAGTAGAATATTCCTTGTGTGCCTAGGATGGTGGGGGAAAGCAGTGGAGAGAGAACCTGGCAGGGAGAAGCCTGGTCTGGGGTCAGTAGGGATGTAACTAGACCAGGTGTGGGGAACCTGAGGCCTCAAGGCCACATGTGTCCCTCTTAGTCCTCAAGTGCAGCCATTTGACTAAATCCCAACTTCACAGAATAAATACCCTTAATAAAAAGATTGGTTCTGTAAAACTTGGACTCAGTCAAAAGGCCACACCCGAGGACCTAGAAAGCCACATGTAACCTCAAGGCCGCAGGTTCCCCACCCCTGACTACTAGACTGTTCTCTTGGGCATCTGAGTCTGATCAGGTTTTTACCAACTGATGGAGCCTAAAGGAGGCTTTTTCATGCACAATAGGCTGAACAGAGAGTACTTTCTCAGTCCTGAGGAGAGAGAATTAATATTTGTTTCTTCACAGAATCCAATGAGGGAGCTATCTATACATTTGGTGTGGTGTCCTATATACAGTAGGGTACTCGATAATATACTCAATAATAATAATAATAATTTTTTTTTTTGAGAAGCAATCAGAGTTAAGTGACTTGCCTAGGGTCACACAGCTAGTAAATACCTGAGGTCAAATTTGAATTCAAATCCTCCTGACTCCAGAGCTGGTGCTTTTTCCACTGTGCCACCCAGCTGCCCCTCAATAATTATTTTTTGAATTAAATGAAATTGAATGTAGGATCACAATTGCTTTTAGCCCAGAGAGGAGAGACTGAGTGGCCTGGGTGGTCAGCCTGGGCCAAGGAGTTCCATTTCTGATATAATTTCCTAACATAGGACTGGAGTATGTCCTGTGGGATTGGCCAAGACAATTATTATCCTGAGGGGAGAACTGGAGGCAGGAGGTGAGGCTGGTTCTGTGCAAGAGCCTTTGGTCATGATTATCTCAGGAATCCCTTCCACATACAGTAACTTAATTGGGTAGTTAAGGATCTCATTCAATGACCCTTTCTAGGATCCATCATTCTTTGATTCCCTCTTTTGGGCCAGAATTCTAAGCTTCCAGACAGAACCAAGGCTGGGAGAACAATGGCTTGAGTTGAACAGAGGCCACTTTTCTGGTTTTATGAGCATCCTCTTTCTTACTGATTCTCTGGAACCTGCTGAACTTATTAGCAAACATTCAGCAGAGACGCATCTGTGAATAATCACCCAGATCTAGGAGCCCATTTATTTGTCCATGTCTCTGCTCTAAATAACCATTAGGTGGATCACAAAGAAACCCCTTTTCACTGAAAACTAATTTCTCCTCATTAAAGTCCTTGTTTGGTGCCTCTGGAAGAAATAATCACATCCCTGGGCTTTCCAAGGAAAGAGGGAGGGGAGGGTGGCAGAGGTGGGAGCAGTGGATACCTTTATGCTTAAAACAAATGGATTCTGTAATGCAGGTTGTCTCAATTTCAATTCTTAGAAGTTAAAAGAAATGGTGGAACTCCTAGCGGACACCTTGTCTGAACCCAGGCTAGCAATGCCCCTTCCCACCCACCCCCAATACCAAATGAATGGATAGATGCTAGTTACAAGATGTGAAAGGCCAGTGTATGTATGAATGACATCACTGTGCCAAATATACCATCACATGCACTCAAACTGTGGCGGAATGGGGCGGGATAGCATTAGCTTCCACTCCACCCTCCATGACCCTGGAGCCAACTCTTTGGAGCTCTAGTAGAGTGTTTCCCGGGTGACATTGCTGGAAAAGGTGTGGTTGCTGGAGATACTGTTAGACTTCCTGGAGAACCTCGGTCTTTTTTTCCTTCTTCTCCAGGGAGGGCAGAGGAAAGCCAGGGTGGAAATGAAGATCTGCCGGAAGTTGGCTGACACCAAGTTGTAGAGAATGGGGTTGATGGTGGAGCTGACATAGAAGAGGACGTTGGTGAGCATGTAGAAGTAGTGGTAGAAATCATAGAGGAACCTGGAGAGTAAAGGGGGAGGGAGAAAGATAATACCCAGATGCATTACAGGGTTTTGAAACCCAAGCAAAAAAGGACAGAGACAACCTTCAAGGTCATGGAATTATACAACCATTGAAATAATAAAATCTGATAATATCAACTAGAAGAGACCTTAGAAACCATGACATTCAATCTCCCTCCTAAGGCCAGAGGCTCTTCTGCAATATCCCTAATGATTATCTAATCCCTACTTGAACACTTTCAGTGACAGGAACTTTACTACCTCACAAGGCAGCCATTGCTAGATAGCTCTGCTTGGTGAATAGTTCTTCCTTATACTGGAGCAAATTCTTCCTGCAACACTAAGCCAATGGTGCCAGTTTTGTTCTCTAGAGTGACAGAATAAATTGATTCTTCTTTAGAATCATAAGGTCATAGGTTTTGAGCTGAGAGAGACCTTAAAAGGTCATGTAGACCAACTCTCTCCTTTTACAGATTAGGAAACTGAGGCACAGAGAAGTGATTTCCTCAGTGACACACAGCTCTCAAGTATCCGAGATGAAATTTTAACCCAGTTCCTCCTGATTCCAAATCTATCACTCTTTTCACATTGCCTCATCACCTCTCAAGTTTGGAACAGACCTTAAGATCTCAGGTTTTGAAGAGATCTTAGAGACCATCTAGTCCAACTGCTCACCCTATGCAGGAATGCTCTTGACTTCATCCCTGGCAGGTCCCCTCTGGATGAAGTCCTTCTTATTATCAGAGAAAACAAAGGCAGCTTTTGATAATAAACATGTAAGCTTGCAGTACTTGCTAACATGTGGATGGCAGACCCCTGCTTTTATCTATCATGAATTAGAGTCAGGGTTCGATCCTATGTATTTTTGCACTATCTGAAGGTAGCTTCCCCTAATTCTTTTCTAAGCCACCTAGTTTATTTTCTGTATCTTCTTAGATGTCTCCTAAATTGTTGCAAGCTTTTGGGTGACTGATTGGCTTGTTATGGATGATCTTGAGCCCGAAACCATGACCCCCCTCACATCTCACCTCAGTCCCTCAAGGCTGTAGCCTAAGCAAAATTTCCTTTTCTGAATTTCCTGGCAAAGGCTTCGTTTGCCAAGTACTAGCCCTTCAGAAGCTTGCTGACAGCTATTGAGGAGAGCAAAGCAGGCTTTGTGAAGGAGGACAGAGTGACCTGTTTACTGGTCATTTGGAGGGGGGAAACTAGGTCCTTCTTGCCAACTTAGCTGGCTCTCCTCAAGGACTTGAGAGTGGTAATATGGTTGAAAAGTGGGGAAGAATTGATATTTGTGAACTTTTTGTTCCAAGGGAAGCAAAAAAAAGGTAGCTGGCACTTGAAGTTAACTGGCTTAGTTGAAGGCCACAGTGTTCTTTCCTGAAGAGTTTCTCGGCTTGGGGCTGATGACTACAGGGCTGTGGTGTGGGGATTATAATTACCCAATCTGCAAGAAAAACCACTGAGGCAGAGCTCTGAGCCAATGACACTTTATTAAAGGGTCCGTAGTCCCCTCTAATGAAGTGGACCTCAGATCTTCCTCATGATCTGAGATGCCCCCTTCTTCCAGGGCCTTATTTTTATAAGGCTTGAAATCAGATTTGATACTTGAACACTCTAAAGGGGCAACACAAAATACAGAATCCCATTGGTTGATGGGACTTGTTTCATGGGCCAAAAATGATGCATCAGCTAGAAATGATATGTCAGGAGGGGGGTCTTGGGTTGGGCAACGCATTGGGGCATCTCAACTGACTAAATGGTCACAAGATGGTCACCTGCTCATGTTGGACAAGAAAGAGTGGTCTGGAGGTACAAAAATAAGTTGGGGGATTTTCCATGTAATTGAGCCACCTCTGCCACCTTGGGCTTGGTCATCATAATAAGGAAAAACAAGGGTGGAGGGCCTCTAGTTAGCTTCCCATGATTAAGCAAGTGAACTTACAATCTGCAGTTCACAGCTCTGGGGTTTAATATACAGAACCTATATTCACTATCCCTATGGAATCTTATTAAAAAGATTAATGCTGATTGGAATATAGTAGGCATCCAAATGAATCATTTCTCACAGTGGGATAGGGACTTGTGGTGGCAAGGGGGAGGGATAAGTTCTTGAGGTGAGAGTGGAGAACAGAGATAGCAATGGTGAAATTGTCGGTTTTTCTTTACTGTTTTCCCCCTAATCCGCTCAAAACCCCTCCCTTTTTTTTCTTTCAGGTCCCTCCCTGTCTCTTACCTTCCTGCTTCCCCACCCCAATCCAGTAGGAAAATACATCTAGAAAGACATTAGCACCGAGTATGAATTAGTTTAAGCTATTACTCCTTCCAAGGGTTACTTAAAAAAAATTGGACTACATGGATAGTCCAATATGTCACTCCATAATATTTATGTGATATCTGTGAAGTACAAAGTGCTTCCATATAGGTTATCTCTCCTTGGCATTTTTCTTTATCACATTCTGTTTTATCTCACAATTATTTATGCACTTTTCTTATTTTCTACCCATCATCAGATTGTCTGCTCCTTCAGGTCAGGGTCTGTGCCTCATTATAGGACTGGTCTTGATTATCTTTATCATAGCATGGGTCTGTATTTCTCTTTTTTTTTATTATTCCCTACTGACTATCATAGGGCCTTACATGTAGTAGGTATTCAATACATGTTGAAATTATCTCATTTAATCCTCACAACAACCCTATTATAATCACAGGAATATTTATTCCTACTCTAGATGAGGAAACTGAGGCCCAGAGAGGGGGAAAGGACTTGCCTTAGAACCTATTATTATTGTTTGTTGCTTTTGAAGAGGACCAATGACATCATGAGGTGATGTCTTGACCTGCATATGAATTGGTTTAAGAGAGGCAGTTTCACAAAGTCATCAGCCTCACTCTCTCTTCCTGAGTCATCGAAGTCCAGTGGTAGGACAAAAATCAAGACAGCTGGCAATGGCCCAGGATGCAGTGGATGACCTTGGCATCTTCCATGTCTGAGCAAACTCTAAGAGTTCCACAGTACCTGCATCAGTCACCTTCATGGCCATTGAAACAAATTTGTCCATTCCACCAGGGAAAGTCCTTGCATGCTTGGGGTAGACATCCTCTTAACTCACTGATGGAGTTGAGGCCTGTCAGTTACCCTCAACCTGGTTTAGCCTGTCTGCCAAGACAGTTTTGCCAGGGTGTGGCCACTGTGCATGCTACGGCTTCTTGGAGTCACAGGTAAGAGTTGAATAACCAGTTGGACCCAAAGGCGGATGAGCAGCCTTGAAAAGGGCTCAGTAAGCCCTCACACCACAGGTGCTAGTTCTCCCTTAACACTCCATACATCCCAATATATCTTATATTGATGAAATCACAGGCCTCAGCCCCATCCCTAGAATGGATCATCTAGAAATTGGAGTTTGTGGATGACTTGTTGGAAATACTGTTTGGGGGATCCTTTTTTAAGTACAGGTTGGACAAGATGGCCTCCGAAGGCATTTTAAATTCTGAAATGCTATGACATTTATATTGTTCTTTTATTAGGTGGTGTCTTACATGAAGGGAGGGAGGAATCTCATCTTATCTGTATCCTCCCTGATCCCTAGCATGGCTCCACCAGTAGTAGGTACTTAATAAATGCTTGATGTAGTGTATTTTGTTGTCTAAAGATGTAGGTGGTTAGGCAAGAATGATTTCTCAGATCCCCTTCCAGCTCTAAAACCTCTGTATGTTAGGACTGGTGGGGCAGCCAGGTGGCACAGTGGCTAGAGTGCTGGACTTGGAGTCAGGAAGACTCATTTTTCTGAGTTTAAATCTGGCCTCAGATACTTTCTAGCTGTGTAACCCTGGGCAAGTCATTTAACCCTGTCTGCCTCAGTTTCCTCATCTGTAAAATGAACTGGAGACAGAAATGGTAAACCACTCCAGTATCTTTGCCAAGAAAACCCCAAATGGGGTCACAAAGAGTGGGACACAACTGAAAAACAGCAACAACATTATGCCAGGGCTGGGAAAAGCTAGGAAGAAGCCACTACAGGGTGACAGAAGAATAGTTTAGATCCTAATTCTAATTTCATAAACTACCTTCACAGATTGATCTTCACTTTCAAGGGTTTAGAGTTTCCCCAGGGAATGAGCAGGTTACTGTGATTCTTATGAGAGGAAAAGTGACACAGTGGAAAGGTACTGGATTCAGATTCAGATGCTCTGGGATCAAATACTTTTTTTGTTTTTCCCTAAGGCAATTGGGGTTAAGTGACTTGCCCAGGGTCACACAGCTAGTAAGTGTCAAGTGTTTGGTCTGAGGTCGGATTTGAACTCAGGTCCTCCTGACTTCAGGGCTGGTACTCTATCCACTGTGCCACCTAGCTGCCCCCTGGGTTCAAATTCTGCCTGTGGCACATGGTACCTGTATGACTTGACACAAGTCATTTTATCTTTTTGAGAGTTATTTTCTTCACCTATAAAATGAGGGAGTTGAACTTAGTGGCCTCTTAAGTCCGTTCCAGCTTTAAATCTATGATCCTGTGACTTGGTAAAGGGAGGGAGAAAATACAGTGAGGGGCCCTGGGTTTCCTTCCTGAAAACTGGTGGGCATGGAGGGAAAGTCCCAAGGGGTTTAGCTTGTGGAGAAACACAAATACTACTATTTCCTATTGGGAAGGGAAGTGAGAACCATCAAAGGCACTTTAATTTGCACAATAAACATGTTACTAAAAAAGGTCTATACCTATCACACTTTGGTGAATGAAATCCTACCTAAATTAGGTTAGAAAAGCTTGCTTTTTGAAGGATGCCTAAGGCTTCTTATGAAAAAAGGGTGAAATGTTGAGCTGGAGGATCATCTAGTTCAACATCCTCATTTGACAGAGGGGGAAACTGAGGCCCAGAGATGAAAAAGCAACTTGGCCAATGCCATATAGAGCTAGGGTTAGAACTCAGGTCTCCTGACTTGCACTATACCAGGTTTCTTCCATTGGTGATGATGCTGATGAAGATGATGTTGATGATAATGATGTACTTAGCACATCACAGCACTTAGCACAGTGACTGGAACAGGATAGGCTCTGAATAAATATTGTTGACTTGGCTTGACATATCATTTTGAGGTTTACAAAGTCTTTTTGTCACAATTCTTTGAGTAGTTAGTGCATGCAATATTATCATGACCATTTTATAGATGAAGAAAACGAAGCTCAAGTTGGAGCTGAGATTCAAAGGCAGATTTTTATACACCAAATCCAGTTCTCTTTCCATTGTACCACAAAGTATCAGAGTCTGAAACCAAATTCAGGTTTCTGGAATTGAAGTCTAATATACTTTCCAACACATTGAAGAAAGTGCAGGCTTTGTGCTCCTAGGGTATGAGACAGGGTAATGGGAGGGGTGAGGAGGTGGAATTGTTTTTGTTCAGTTGTTTCAGCTGTGTCTGACTCTTTGTGATCCCATTTGGGGTTTTCTTGGCAAAGATACTGGAGTGGTTTGCCATTTCCTTCTCCAGCTCATTTTACAGATGAGGAAACTGAGGCCAACAGGATTAAGTGACTTGCCCAGGGTCACACAGCTAGTAAGTGTCTGAGGCGAGATTTGAACTCGGGAAGATGAGTCTTTCTGACTCCAGGCCTGGCAGTCTATGCACTATGGCACCACCTAGCTGCCCCAAGGAGGTGGAGAGGCAGCGTCAAACGAAGACTTAACTGCTGACTGCACAACTTTCCCATCTACCCTTGGATGGAGCTGAATTGCTTACCCTTGTGGAGGGCATTGAGAGGCCTGCCAGCATCATTGAAAGGTAGAGCCAACATCCCTGATTTGGGACTTTGATTAGCACAGGGGCTTGGGTTTTGTGTTATAGGGAGTGACTTTTTCCTGAATTTACTTAATTCCTCAGGTACTCTTACACCAGCTTTTACATAACATGGAGCAGAAACTCACGGGGACCAGTGATCAGATGGGATATAGCAGAACATCAGGCGACGAACGTGGTAGGGAAGCCAGCAGACTACGAAGGCGATGACCACTGCACCTGGAATGGGAAAGAAACACCATGGATTTAGTGCCCTAGAGTCATGGCGTGTCAGAGGTGAAAGGGACCTCACAGATCACCTAGTTTAACCTTTTAATTTTTCAAACAGAGAAAATGAGATCCAAAGACAGGAAGGGAACCAAGGTCACACTATTAGCAAATGCTTTTGTGTGCTTCTGGAAACTAGAAGTTTAGGTCTGTTCTAATCAGTTCTTAGATAAAACCTCAGTGTTACTCACTCTAAGTGTGTGTGTGTGTGTGTGTGTGTGTGTGTGTGTGTGTGTGTATTTTAGCCACTTCAACACAGCACAACACATTTCCTGAGTGCCTACTTTATTTTTTTAATTTTTTTTTTGCTTGGGCGATCGGGTTAAGTGACTTGCCCAGGGTCACCCAGCTAGTAGGTGTTAAATGTCTGAGGCTGGATTTGAACGTAGGTCCTCCTGACTCCAAGGCCAGAGTTCTATTCACTGTGCCACCTAGCTGCCCCTAAAAGTAAGACTTTAATTGTCATATTTTACTTCAATTAAATTTTTAAAAAAATTATTTGAACTCAAAGCATTTTTTTTATAATTGACTTCAATATTAGCCCTTGATTGGATTTAAATATTAATTTTTTTTCAGCCAAAGGCAAGGTTTATTAGAATATCTGTCATATTGAGCAGACTCTTAAGGAGTCTGAACATTAGTAAGCTATCAGCTAGATTATAAGAATTTAATCCCTGAGTGCCTACTTTATGAAGGATCTTGTGCTAGGCACTGTGAAGGATGCAAAAATGAAAAAGACAGATCCCTGATAACAGTATGCTTGAAATCTGGTGGGTAGGCTCATATGTGTGCATTAGTAATTGTGAACAAGGCTGAAAAGGGATGAGGATGGTAAGAAACGTCTGGACTTGGAGGATGGGCACCATTGGGTGATGAGAAAAGAATGAGAACATTGTTTTCATTCTCAGATCAATTTTGGGAATGAAGTTCCTAGGGTATTCCTTATCCCCTGGCACTTCAATTATTTAAAGGAATGAAATTAATTTTGCAATCTCATAAAGGGAAGGAAAGACCAGGTATCTGTTTAGTTCTGAAGTAATAAAGCCTTTGAGGTCTAATTATTTGATCTAAAGCTTGCTTTACTTAAGCCATGGCAACTAAATATACCATGAGCCTGGATCTCCAAGGGCCCTTCTCCCCTGGAGAAGCCCAAGCCTTCTCTTGCCCACAGAGGTGCCCTAGTGGTAGCAGCCAGCAGGAGCTTGGAGATTCATTCAGTCAGGGCAAAGGAGTTCTCCAGAGGCGGGTGGGGCAACTTCTTGGAGAGGACCCTGCTCTCCAAATAGCTTCTATTTTCCTGAGAGTCCTAGATCTAGAACCTAGATCATCCACTTGGGGAAAAGGTCCTCTTCAGCTCCTGCCAGCTATGTCATGTTAAACTCAAATCTGCCCTCCCACAGAGCTACAGTGAGAAAACTACATTGAAGACTCTGGCTTCCATTGATTTTTCTGCCCCTCTTTAGCCACATGACCTTGGGCACATAAGCTGTCTCTCCTGCTGCCTCCATTTTCTCATCTATTCCTGTTGTTGTTCATTCTTTGTTTTTTGAAGAGGACCAATGGCATCATGAGTGATGTCTTGACCTGTTTGTTAATTGGATTTAAGTAAGGCAGAGTTGCATAAAGTCATCAGCTTCACTCTCTCTTTTTTTCTACTTTTTGGTGAGGCAATCAGGGTTAAGTGATTTGCCTAGGGTCACACAGCTAGTAAGTGTCAAGTGTGTGAGGTTGGATTTGAACTCAGGTCCTCCTGACTCCAAGGCCAGAGTTCTATCCACTGTGCCACCTAGCTGCCCCACCACTTTCTTTTCCTAAGTTATCAAAGTCCAGTGGCAGGACAAAAGTCAAAACAATTGGTAATGGCCTGGGCTGCACTGTATGACCTTGGCATCTTTGATGTCTAACCAAGCTCTAAGCATGCCATGGTGCTTATTTCAGCTGCCTTCATGGCCTTTGGAACAAATTTTTCTCATCTGCCCATTCTGCTGTGGGAATCTTCACATGCTTGTGGTAGACATCCTCCTAACTCACCAATGAGAAGATAAAGCTGTTCAACTAGATGACTTTTATGTTTTCTCCTAGGTCTAAGATTCTGGGGAATCTCAGAAGAAGAGTGGGTTTCCAGGGAGAATGAATCTCTTTGCTCTTTCTGTGTTGCCCCTAGATCTTGCCTATCATGTTGCTAAGGCTTGTCAAAAAGAGGGGGGAAAACTCCAATCGTTTCAAGGATGTGAAGTGCAAATACTCTGTGACTCTCTGGAACCTGCACAGAAAGTAGGTCTTGGGTTTATTTAGAGAGGGAACACAGAGTGGAACGAATGCCCAGCATGAAATGTGAACCTTACTGGGCAACACAAAAACAGAAAAAGTCACTGGTGCTGTTTGGGCCAGGGGATTAAGGATAGTTATGAGGTGTAGTCGCATCTTCGGAAAGAATAAAATCTCATGCCTGAGTTTAGGGGCTGGACGTGGCAAGAGAGGGAACAGCAGGGAATGCTGCTGACATTTAAAAAAAAATCAAGAATGCTGCTAAATGGACCTAAAGAAATTTCTTAAATGTGTTGTGTTGGCAAATGTCAGTTACTCCTTGAAGGGCAGTCGATGTTGCTTGCTAAATGATTTGACCCCAGGAAGGCATATTCAAATAATTTTGCACCTGTAAGTTGGCCAACCAGTGAGTGAGTGTGTGTGTGTGTGTGTGTGTGTGTGTGTGTGTAAAATGAATGAACAGACTGGAAATAATGGTTCCTCCATCCAAATCTGATGTTGTGTGGAGAAAAGAGAGGCTAAATATGGCCAAGAAGATTATAATCTGGTGGGATAAACACTGACTAGGAGTCCAGGAGACTCCAAATTCTAGATCTCTTTTTGCTGTCACCTAACTATTTGACCTTAGGCAAACCACTTACCCTTTCTGAGGCTCAGATCTTCCAACTGTCAATGCAAAGAGCTCTCTTTTGATATTCTGATGCCCCTTTATTCTACCAACTTTCTGAATCCCAGAATCTCAAAGTTGGAAGAGACACTTCAAAAGTCATCTAGCCCAATTTCTACTGGGATCTAGGACCTCCTCTCTTTTTATGAGCTCATAAATTCTTTTTTTTTTTTTGCATTTTAAAGTTTATTCTGCATTATTAACATTTGCTCCATTACTTTAAGTGTAGGCAATCAATAAAATAATAAATCAAGCCCTCATTTGTAATGTTTGTTGATTTATTTTCTTTTTAAAATTTTTAAAAATTGATTTATTTAATTTTAGTTTTCAACATTCACTTCCACAAGATTTTGAGTTCCAAATTTTCTCCCCATCTCATCCCTCCTCCACCCCAAGATGGTGTGCATTCGGAATACCCCTTCTCTTAATCTGCCCTCCCTTCTATCTCTGCTCCCTTCTCTTATCCTCTTCCCTTTCTATTTTCCTATAGGACAGGATAGATTTCTATACCCCATTGCCTATATATCTTATTTCCCAGTTGCATGTGAAAATAATTTTTAACTTTTGTTTTTAAAACTTTGGGTTCCAAATTTTCCCCTTCCCTCCCTCTCCACCTACCCTCATTGAGAAGGCAAGCAACTCGATACAGGTTATATATGTGAGTCATGCAAAACACTTCCATAGTAGTCATGTTGTAAAAAACTAACTGTATTTCCCTTCATCCTATTCCGTCCCCCATTTATTCTATTTTCTCTTTTGACCCTGTCCCTCCTCAGAAGTGTTTGCTTCTGATTACCCCTTCCCCCAATCTACCCTCCCCTCTATCATCCCTCTGCTCTCTTATCCCCTTCCCCCCCTATTTTCCTGTAGGGTAAGATAGCTTTCCATACCCAATTGTGAGCTCATAAATTCTTTTGGGAGTGCTTGAGCAATTGCTACACACAAGGGAACTCTGAAGTAGTGGAAACTCATGAGTGGAGGAAGTGGTGGGGCTGGAATATATATCATTCTATGGTTCTATGCTTTCCTATACCTGTGCTGCTTCTCTACCTCAGTTCTATAGGGACCTATATTCTTTTTATTTCTGAGCAATAACTTATTCTAGACTCATTGCCTCTAGGAAGACCCCTCTGATTATTCTTACCTTACTGCGGCATAATGTTGTTTCTATGGTTGGGGATAGGTAGTGGGGAGTCAGGGTGGGACTCAATCTAGAGCCGAGGCCTCTGATTTCTTCATTTGGTTATGCTCTCTATGAGGCTGAGAAAACAGGATGGCCCAGACTAAAAGGGAAAGGCCCTTTGGGTCTGTCTTAATAGTGTCACATCGACCTGATGTAATTGGCAGAGAACTGAAGAAGGGACAGTCCGAGGAAATTTACCTATGCACCTACTTTGTGCAACACCATTATGTGAAAATATGTATGGATTTAATTAGACTCTTCATTTTACAAAAAGAATCTTCTTTTCACACCAAAAAGGTTCAGTTGAAGATGTCTTTAAATAGCAGAACTCCTGTCATCCATTTAAAATTGGCATCAATTTACACACCACTTTTTTTTAGAATTCATCTACAATGTTTAGCATCTCCCAAGACCACAGATTCTCAGTGATGGCAAGGAACTTGGGGGATCTGAGAGGTTCAATCTGTACCTCAATGGGAACCCACCTCTGCAATATGGTTATTCAACCTCTATTTGATGTTGATGGTGATAGGAAATGTACTACTTCCCAAGAAATCCATTACTTCCTAAGATCGATCATATTTTGTATAGTTTAATTAAAAAATTTTCATTACGTGAAGGCTGTCTGCCTCTCTGCAAATTCTACCTATTGCTCTCAATTCTCTGTGCTTTGGATCAAATGGAATGCCTTACCTCTCTTCCAAATTATACTCCTTGGAGTACTTGTCCTCCTAAGTTTTCTCTTCTACAGGTCAAATATTCCCATTTCCTTCAACTGTTCCTTGTATGGCATGATCTCTATTTTTTCCCTCTATTTCTTTTTTTTAAAAATAA